CCGCTTCTACGAGAATTTGAGGCTTGAATTCTCTTATAAATACTTATAAAATCAAGAGTAGTTCAGGGCCAAAATGAACACAGCCATGAGAATCAAAATGGTTAGATGAGTTATGGTGTTAGTATAGTTGTTTTTATTTACACGAATGGTTGAATGGTTTAAGACATCGTGTTCACCAATTAGCTTAGTAAATTCGATTGTATTCAACTAAGGAAGCTTCAAAGTCACAAGCCATCCATCATATTACTATAACATGTCGTATGTACTATTTTGTTAGAGTCTGCATATCATTTTCATTTTTGGATTGCATATTGTGGAGTTTTCATTCATGTGTAGGATTGTTGTAATTGGTTTAAGTATAAAATCATGAAAAAGTTATGTGTCAATTTCGATCAAATATTCAGATGTGATCTGATAGTAAAATTATGAAAATAAATAGACTAACTTGTTCTACTTATCGAGTAGATCGTCGTAGTATATTTGGAATTTCCAAACCAATTCCGGTTGAATGAGAGATTACTGTCTAAAGTTGGAAGAAAAGAAAGGAAACTAGCTAGAAATTTGACCAACTCCGTCACTCACCTAGTGCTTGAGAGACATGCAAGCGACATGCGAGTAACGGGGTCTCTGTTTCTGACGTTCGAGTGATGCACGGGTAACAGGCTAGCGACAGCAAATGTTACGACCCTTGGCAAAGGTTGCTGAGTTTGGGGCGCGACACTTCACTCACAACCTTTCATTCTCTATAAATTAGACTCTTGGAATGTCCATTTGTTCATCCCAATGATGTGCAATTATAGCATAACATTAGATTCATTCTTTTCCTAGCCAAAATTCTGTATAAAAGCCATTTTTTCATTTCTCATTTGAAGGAGTACAAAAACTAATTTTTGGTTCGTTGTATCTTGGGAGTCGATTGCTATCATCCGTAGACACCATTGCGGGGTAAATTTGACTTAATGACAAAGAATTCAACTTTTGCCTTGACTTTGCATACATTTCATTTGGTGTTAAATTCTTTTCTTTGGTGTTTCACTCATTTCCTTATCGCTACCCTGTCAAAGTTTTGGTTGTAAGTTTTTTTAAAGTCATCACTCAAATCCATCATATCTCATCCAACACTGACAATGGTTTCCTCTTCTCCTTCTGCTGGCTTGGCAAACCCCTTCTTCCTTCTTGCATATGTGAACTAGATTGGAGGTCTATCATGGGTATACAACTAACATTACAGATAGCCGATTGAGATAGATCTACAAACGTAGCAGACTCATGTAGCTGCTTGAGTATCCAGCCTAGCTAATTTAGGTTTTCTTGAATATTGAATTATGATGACACTTTTCATAATTTCAGTTTTTTTTTTGAAAAATTTTAGAATGTAAGGCCCTGTTCTCTTTGCTGTTTTTAAATTGTTTTCGAATTTTGATTTTCCAAAATACTGAAAATGCGTTCTCTTTGTCATTTATGAAAATGAAAAAAAATTGTACTGAAAACAGAAAACAATCAAAACCAGGTTTTGTATGTTTTCAGTCCAAAACACGGTACTTTTACAAACACGAAAAACGCCCATTTTCAACCTCTCTCACCGTTCCCGTTCCCCAGCCTTGTTCATTTTCACTTCTCCCTCTAAACCCACATCTCCCAGCCTCTGCAAGAGACATTTCCAACGCCGGTCGACTTCCAAATTCCCGACGCCCTTCCACCTCCAACGCTTGTCCTTCCCTCCGTCGCCTGTCAAAACTGTGGCACGACCCGTTGATCTTTGCCCCTACCTGTAGCCTCAAAACAAGGTAAAATTAACCTATTTTTCTATTTGTCTTCATTAATTGCTCTTCTTCAATCAGATCTGTGTGATGTGTTTACTTGCTCTGGCGATGAGTAGATCTTGAAAGGAGGGAGAACGGTGGGTGGGGATGGATTTAGAAATCTTTAACCCGAACAGAGAGCAACATGGCATTGGGTTTGGTCGTTGTCCACGCACTCGTGAATTGGAACCCAAAATATATATTTCCTGCCATAAGCTAAAATTCTTATATGTTTTGGGTAATTAATTTTTAGGTTCGTTTAATGATAAACATAAATACCGTGGGTCTACATTTATTTGAATGTGCCCTTAAAATCCTCACATGATCGATGTAATTTGATATGTAAATCCCTGAATCAGGCACTGGGATAGTGTTACTAATATGGGATTGCTGTGTTGAATTTGTGGGCAAACTTCAAGAGTCAGAAATGAACATACACATGAATTGGTTAAGTTTGTGACTATTGAACATATATTTGTTTTGAATGTAATTGTTGGATTAGCAATATTATGTCTACCATGTAGAACCAGATTTTGTCTCTACTGAGATGTCGCTGAAAGCTGTGGAGAGGATCATGATGTTGATGGTTAACTACATTTTTTGTGTTAGACTTACGCAGAAAAATTGTTAACTAAATGAGTCTCGTAGTCTCTTTCAATTATCTTTCAGACTGATATTTGGTTACACTCAATCAGTGATGATATCTATTTGTGGTCATCTGGTGAATTTTTCATATATGTACCCCTTGTCTGGAAGATAACCATTTCATGTTGCCACTCTTATGCTTAATTTATTTCAGTTTTCTTTTCATTTGCTTTATGGCTATTTGGTAGGAATCAAAATAAACACAGTTGATATTAATATGTTTTCTTTATATATTTCTTTATTTTTCTGCTTTCCTGGTTGAGCCTTGTGACAACCATTAAGGCATGGCTTGTGCTCATATATTTTCTTCTGTTAAAGTGTGTGCCTGCATAGAGATACGGAGTTACATTTAGTTTGATAAAATTACATATTCACTTTTCATTTTTCAATGTTCTTAGAATATATCTTTAAGGGTGGCTTGTTGGGAGGGTGGGTGATTGATGGCTTTATGAAACGTGAGGCTTGGTGAATCTGTCTTTATGTTGAATCTGCCAAGTTGCTAAACATGGATTATTTATATCATTTGAAGGATTTTTCTGGTGCTTGATCCAACACTATACCAATTGCTCTTTATGGACTCGTGGAATTGTTCTACAAAAAGAAAAATTATATATCAATAGAATGCAAATAAAATGTAAAGAATAGGACTACTAATAAAACCAAGTCCTTTCAACTGTATATCCTTGGTTTGTAAATATAAAAAATGAACCATGACTAATCCCAGCATAAATGTAGTACTGGTTTGATTCAAAGATCCTTTTATTGTCAATGTAGTACTTGTTTGGATGATTAATACAGCATCACATGATGCCCCAGGAACATCTTCAAAAGTCAAGGTGCATGGTAACTGCATAAACAATATTTAAAGTTATCTAACTGCTGAGGCTTCTCTTAAAGGTATCTAACTGCTAACTACATAAACAATATTAGCAAGAGCTTCTCTCAAATTTTCCTCACTGCTCAGGCAAACACAATCAATTTCTTAGGAATTTTACCAGTTAGAAAATTGAAACCAAAGGTAAAAAATGCTTGAGTATAATAATTGGATAATGAAGATAATAGTGATGCTTCTAATGTTACTGGTTGTTGGTTAATAGACATTCAATTATCAAGCTGACTCAAGAGTTCTGACTAATTTTTTAACTTGTTTTTCGATATAGAACATGGGTGGTCACATAGTTAAGAATAAGGAACCAATATCATGGTCGAACGAAAAAGAACACACTTTTATCGAAATTCTTTGAGAAAGTAAAATCAAACGCGTTGCAATGTTCTACATTCACGAGAGACGAATGGGGCAGAATCAATGAAACCATGATAGTCTCAACAAAAGTAGATTACAGCATAGATAGATTAAAAGGGAAGTGGAACTGCTTATGTAAGATTCATCGCATGTTCTCCGAACTTTTGGGACA